ATATTCTACCCAAGAAACTTTAAGTTAAAATAATAACTGAGTTTACTCACTTTAGTTGATACTTGAACTTCCTCAGATATGAACACTTCTTCAATCTGGACTGCATCTCTGGGAAAATATCCAAAATCTTTTCCTTTCTATCAAAATGAAGTATGAAGGTTATCAAGGAACAGCGCTCAAAAAATAATGAATATTATGCCTAAATTTTGTCTCATTTTCTTGGTTTTCATTTCTTATAAATCATAAATATTAGTTTTCCACTGTCCTCTCTAAAAGAAAGTAAGTGACATCAATATTGCCTTCATTATTAAAAAGGACAGACATGATTAATTTAAGAGGACAGCAATCAAAGTTATAAAATGCCACCTTCTTTAAACTTCAGAAGGAAAACTTTCACACGTACTCATTTTCTTCCTTTTGCTATCTTTCAGTGACCTCCCTTGCCCATGTGGATGACCAATTTGCACCTTTAAACCTCAAAAGGCAAGGCTTTGACAATAGCCAAAAAACTAGTTGGAGATAAGCACATACTCATTATCTTCAGTACCTCAAAATTATGTAATAGGTTTAAACTCTAAATGGGCTTATCTAATGGGATAGTGAAGGTCCACAAGCCCTTCAGGGAGAATTTAACTCTATTAAACTTTTCTGGGACAATCTTGGTAACAAAATGAAAGATGTTCCATGAGAGAGTGGCTTCATATAGCCACTCTCAGCCCATTTCCTATCTCTGTCAAAATTTAAAGTCTTTATTTCTTTGGGCCTCTCTGGTCCAGAATCATTACACCTCAACCATGCTTCTTCAAGCTTCCCAGCTGCTACAACTATTGGCAATAGCCTGTGGGTGAGCTCCAGGTGTGTCCTATTGGCATGCACTAAACATGTAATGCTCAAAAGCTTTAAAAGCTCTAAAGTGTCACCCTGTCTCCATATTTTTAAATCTTGCTTTTTGGTAGAACTAGAATATTCACATAGCATAAATAAGGAAGAATGTTTTCTTTGCCTCAAACTGTACCAACTAGGGCAGTTTTCTTACAGCTGCATTGAACATCTCTAGATCTCAAGACAAGCGCTGGAATATGTAAGGAACCTCTCCAGTAAGGTGGCCAGTGACAGTCAGCGGTCAGAAGGCTCTAATAGATAAAATCAGTTTCAAATAAAATCTACTCTTTCAAATGGTGATCACAGTACATGCACAAGGAAGAGATTTAAGGCATATGTTTTAAGAAAATATATGTGTATCTATTTTTAGTTTTTATTGTGATCTGAATGAAGTTTATGGAGTAAACTAGTTTTCCATTTAACAATTCATCTATATGATGTTTCATAACATTGATTACAATTATAATAGTACTGTTCCTACTTCTTCCCTGACTTTCCCTTTTCCATCCATCCTTTTGACGTTTGTCCTTGGGAAAATGCTTTCCTTGTAATCTTGCATAATTAATTGTTATAATTAATTAAGGCATATGTTCCTCCCTGGTGCTATTGATCACCTTACAGGCTTTTATGCATCAGTTTGGTTGAGCTTGTTCAGCTTGCAAGTGATATAATTTATCACAGTATCTTTTCATAAGAATGAATAATGATACAATCAGATGTGATCCTATATCTAATTGAAAACATAAATCATTCATTTTGTTATGTTCAAATGACTCAGCCTTCTAAGAACTCTGGGCTCTCCCAGTTGTTAATTTCTTTCTGTAAAGGATTCATATACTAGCTTCCCAGACTATTAATCTTTGTGAGGGCCACTTGAATTAATAACAATTTAGCCCTTTACTTGCTCAGAAAGACATGAGGTTTAAACTGAATAACCAAAATTTCTTACATGTTTCTCTATTTAACCACTGGCAGCACCAAAGGATAGCTGGAGTTGTTTAGGCATCCTATCATCTCCATCCCCACCCTTAAATGCAAATCAGTATGAAATTTTGAAGTGTGCACACTAAGTAAAAATTTAATTCAATGTACTCCCAACCAGAGTGCTTCACAAAAAGCGTCTATTATAGAAATTTGGTCACCACCACTGACCATAATCAGTTTTTGTTTATAATATCTATACAGTGCTTTGGGATACTTAAAGTGCCTTTTGAAATTAAAAAGTAGGCTTCCTTGTATAAGCTAGTCATTTATTCCACATTCCATTTTTAAGACTAGATACTTACACTTCCTGCCCACAAGTCTTCTCTCTCTCCTGAAAGTTTAACATAAACAGATATTTCTTCTCCCTTAGTGAAGTTGAGGTATCGGCAGTCAGGTCCTTCATAATCTTGTAGGGCTGTGACTCTGCTTATTAAAGCTATGTAAATAAGTAAAGAAGAAGACACATTTTCAATTAAGATTTCATTGTCTTCCTCTCATCTTTATCTTTTCCAATCCATCCTATGCATTTCCCAATATTAACTTTCTATGTCCTTTACAGGGATTTCTGGTGGGCTTCTATTAAGAAGCTGTGCTACAATCCCAAAGGCATGTGGTTTGAATCCACCAGCTGTTCCGTGGGAGAAAAATAAGCAATCTTCTCCCTTGCAATTTATTGCCTCTGAAAAATCTGCTGGAGGGTCAGCTATGAGTTGCTTCTGACTGGACAGCACACAACAAGAATAAGACTTTTATGGCCTTGAAAACCAACAAAGTACATTAAAGACCAAGAAGGCAGTCCTGAAGGGCATCCACAGGCAAAAAAAAAAGAAGATCCGCACATCACCCACCTTCTGGTGCCTAAGACTCTGAGATGCCAAAGAAGAGCTCCGCCCGGAGAAACAAGCTTGACTACTATGCCATCATCAAGTTTCCCCTGACCACTAAGTCAGCCATGAAGAAGATCAAAGATAACAACATGTTTGTGTTCACTATGGATGTCAAGGCCAACAAGCACCAAATCAAACAAACTGTAAAGAAGCTCTATAACACTGATGTGGGTAAGGTCAACACCTTGATTAGGCCTGCTGGAGAGATGAAGGCCTGTGTTCAGCTTGCTCCTGACTATGATGTTTTAGATGTTGCCAACAAAATTCGGATCATCTAAACTGAGTACAGCTGGCTAATTCTAAATACAGATTTTTCTCACCAAAAATAAATAAATAAGGCCTCGGGAATTTATAAGATATCAATTGACATATTTGGAATAACAGATGCAGCCATGAGGTGAGAAATAATCTCACCTAACAGAAAAGCCTTTTTCTAAAGCTTAAAGAATTGTTCGCATGGCTGATAAATACATATCTTTTTCACTTATTATACAACTCACCTAACATTTCCCATTCATAACAACTTCCCATACAAGACCATAACTGAGCCTGGAGTGTGTGCTGTGAAAATCCCCAAATTATATACAGGAAGCCCTGGTGACAACAGGGTCATACAAAGGAGAGTAGCAGGCCATCCTTGGTCCACCTTCTCCTGTTTGTCTACAATATCATAGGACAGCCACGAAGGGCACAGGAAGATGACAGAACCATGTGAGGTCACAGGCAGGCAGAGGGAGACTGTGAGAACATATGCCTAGGACATCCAGGTGTGCCACAAAAGATGGTCTACAGGATTCTGCCGGACCCATTTGCTCACCAGTCTCTGCACCACCAACCTGGATCACCCATAGTTGCTATCCAACTGTGCCACAACTGACAGTCTACAGGATGCTGGTCCATCACTCACCAGTTTCTATAAACTCAGCCTGCAAACCTAATCATGTGAGTCATTCCCCTGGTGGGTCTGAGTCTCTGGGAGACCGTCTAGCAAATCACTAAGCCCAAGGGCTATAGAGGAATTGGGAAACTGAGCCACAGATGGAGCTATTAGTGTTAGAAATCATGGATTTATTGGTTTGGGGAACTCTGGTGGCCTAGTGGTAAGAAGCTGCAATCCCAAAAGCCCATAGTTCAAATCCACCAGCTGCTCTTCAGAAGGATGGGCAATCTCCTTCCAGAGTGCAAATAACTACCACTGAAAACCCACTAGAGGGCCAGCTATGGGTCGGTTCTGACTCAACAGCACACAACAACAATAAATTCCTATTATAAGTATACTTAAAACCCTTTTTCTAAAATTATACAATTGAAGTTAAAATAACATTCTAAATTTTAATATTTCTTTTACAAGTTCTGTGCCTGTCCCTAAGGATGCTAAAATGAAGCTGTAATACAAAGAGGAAAAGAAGATTGTTACTATAAAAACATTATCTAGAAAATCTTATCTCTGCATTAAAATATGTCCGAAGTGTTAAGGAAAATCATCCAAAAAGTCAAAGCCATTGCCATTGAGTTGGAATCAATTCATAGCTGACCTCCAGCAGGTTTCCAAAACAGTAAATAACAAAGTAGGAGACTACACATCTTTCTCCCACTGAGCCACTGGTGGATTTGAACCGCCAGAGGCTCAGCTCTTAGGTTAGCAGTGCAACTCCCTATTGATTATGCCACCAGAGCCCCTTACTCATAAAAAATGTAACTTAGAAATCAGTTGTATTTATACAAATAATATATGGTATTTTAAAAGTATCGGTTGCACATTAGAAATAATTCTTACACACTGGATAAGTAGAACATATTTAAATGAACTCTAATATACTCGGACACAATTTATTTTATGTAATAATGCTATGAAAATTACGTATTTCAGTATTACTTTCCAAGGGCCCTTGTGGCACAGTACTTAAGTGCTCATCTGCTAGGTAAAAGGTTGGCAGTTTGAACCTGCCAGCAGCTGCTTCCATAAAAAGCTCAGCCTATGAATGGGGCATCTCTGTTCTGATCAAAAGCACTGCTGTTAACCACAATGGACCCAACATAATACAACAGTACTGATTTCCATAATTTTAGAAAATAAATTAATAAAAAATTATTATTATTATTAAGATAAATAATGATGGCTTAAAATAAAAATTATTTTGAAAATAGAAAAATTCCGACTAAAATAAAATTGAAAAATAAATTTCTAAATAAAGCACAATATAAAGCCTTTTAAAAAAATAAAGCCTATTTATATCAGGTATGTCTAAACAAACAAACAGTAAAAGTATTAATGAATTTCTCTTTGCTACACAAACATCATAATTGCTGAGATATTTATATATGAGACTAATCTTCACCCCTTCCTATACTTATATTAAATATTATCACAACATGTCTTGCTTACAGCATTTTCTTTTTTGTACTGAGTTATACCTTCTAGTTGCAAGTATTTTTAATTATATTCATGCTCATTCTTATCAAGGACAAATTACATTACCCACAATTACATTATACGTCACAACAGAGTCTCAAGAGAAAAAGAAAGGAAAAAAGAAAACTTACTTTCACATTCCAAGTCGCCACATTTTTTAAGTTCTGCCAGCAGTTTTGTAGTCTCCAGACTCTTTGCCAAAGAAATTACCAAAAGAAGGACTCTGTGAACTCGGAGCTCCGCCATGCTAGGATGAACAACCAAGAATCCAAAATGGGGTTTAAGCTGATGGTTTAGGTTGTAGTTACGCCAGTCAAAATAAAAAATAAGTCTATTCTCCTAACTGAAAAGGAGAAAAAAACCTGACGTTTTGCTTTCTTTTTAACTTGTAGATAACTACATTTTTCTATTTTCAGTCCTAACTTAAGGGACAAAACACTCTGCTCTCAATCTGCAGTGTCAGGTAGCCAGATAATACAGACAGGTTAATGATTAACAGAGATTTTTAGTTGAACTACTATCTTTATAAAGGTGGCTCACGTAACCTGTCTTACCTAAAGGCCCTTGGGAACAACAAGATTGTTTTTTAAAAGCCCTGCAAAAAGGGTCATTTCTTTTCACTTTTAGGAAGCTTCAGGAGAATCAGTCAACAGATATAAACAGAGTATTTGCTGCATACAAATACTAAGCATCAGTGGAGAAAATAGTTACTTGCATGAAGAGTAATAATTTATGCTGAAAGCGCATGTTTTTTGAAATATCAAGATGAAAGTCATTTTAAAAAATAGTGTATTTTAATACTAAATACCCTTCAGTGTTTCTGTGAAGTTTAAACATTATTATGAAGTATTTCCTTGAGAATAGTGCTGTTCTTGTTGTTAGATACCATCAAGTTGAGTATGACTCATAACAACCCTATCAATAACAGAACTGAACCCTGTCCTCTCCTGTGCCATTGTCATCATCTCTGACATACTCGTCCATTACAGCAGTCACTGTGTATCCATCTGGTTGAGGGTCTTCTCTTGCACTGACCCCCACCTTTCCAAGCTTGATATCCCTCTCCAAGGAATAGGCAGCCTCTCCTAAAAACATGCTCAAAGTAGTTTGGCCTGTAATCTTTGCCTCCAAGGAGCACTCCAGCTGCACTTTCTCCAAGACGTATCTATTTATTCTTTTGGCAGTCCATGAGGTATTCAGTACTCTTCTCCTGCACAACTCAAAGGCATCAATTATTCAGTCATTATTATTCATTGTCCAGCTCTCAGAGGCATAGCATATAATTGAAAACATCATGTCCTGCACACCCACGTTTATTGCTGCTTTGTTCCAGTAGCAAAGAGTTGGAAACAACCCAAGTGCCCATCAACAAACGAATGGATAGAGAAGCTGTGGTATGTTCATACAATGGAATATTATGCTGCATTGAAAAACAAGGAACTCCTGAAATACTATACAAAATGGGTGAGCCTGGAGGACATTATGCTGAGTGAAAGATCTCCATCACAAAAGGACGAATACTGCATAATACCACTGTTGTAAAGCAAGACTGACATCGGGGTTGAGGGGAAACTAAGAAAAAGGGGATAAATAATGTATAGCACATTGAAATAGATGACGGCGAGAACTGTTTAGGAGGAATGTATGATTAGATATTAGTGGCATGACAAGAGTCCAGAATGAAAGCTGCACAGTGAAGTGGATTGGGGCACGCAGATTGTGTAACAATGAAAGAATTTTTTTTACTTTTCAAAGAGAAAAGTGAACTGGGGGGAGTGGTGGGCAGGGAGGAAAGTGTGCAACAATGAATGAATGGAAATCCAAAGTCTCTATAAACTTTCATTAAAATTAATTTTTAAAAAAGAAGAAAAACTCATGGCCTGAATCAGGTGCACCTTAGTCCTCAAACTGACATTGTTGCTCTCCAGTAATTTCTAGAGGTTACTAACTACAGACTTTCTCAATGCAATGATGTATCTCCTGATAACCTGATCTCCACTTGTGATGATTGTGACTCTCAAGTAAGATTAATTCCTTGACAGTTTCAATCTTTTCTCCATCTATCATGATATTATCTATTAATCCAGTGGTGAGAATTTATGTTTTCTTGATGTTAAAGGATTTAGTCCTTGATCTTCTGCAACAAGCTCTTCAAGTCTTCTTCACTTTCAGCAAGCAAATTTATGTCATCTGAATTACAGAGGTTGTTGTAGTGTTTCCCTCTTGATACTGATACCACATTTTTCTTCATAGAGTCCAGTGTCTCAAATTATCAGTTTAGCCCACAGACTGAACAGGTATGGAGAAAGGATATAACCCTGACACACACCTTTTCTGATTTCCATCCAGGTAGTGTTCTCTCCTACTTGGGACATGTTGCTAGAGGAGGCTATTCCTTGGAAAAACATATGATGGTAGAAAGATGGGTAGATCCTCCCTGCAATTTACGGCCTCTGAAAACCTGCTGGATGGTCCAGTTCTGACTTGATAGCAGTCAACAACAACATACATAAAATATTCCCTACATTTCCTTCAAACTGTTTAAAAATGAGGACTTTTTTTTTTCGCACACTTAGACCATGTGCTCTGCTTCTTACTTGCAAAAATGAGAATTTTTTCTTTAAAACATAAAAGAGGATATTATTAAGGAGCGCTGGCAGCATAGTATAAACCATGTAATGCTGTTAGCAGTTCAGATCTACCAGTTGCTCCAAAGGAGAAAGATGGGCAGTATATGTTCACAAAGATTTCCAGCCTTGGAAACGTGATGAAGGGCCATTGTGAATTGGAATCAATTTGATGGCAGTAAGGAAGTTTGAGTTTGGGGTTTTTTATGTTTCAGGTACTCTTTCAACTACTTCAGTGAATGCTCTCATAAAACTTTCATACTAACTCTGATCTAGATAATATTATGATACTCATTTTTATATATGAGAAAACTGAGGCATATGGAAATTTTATTATATCACTTGTCCAGTGTCATTCAGGAAGGGAAAATTTAAATCTAGACTTATTGACACCTGCTTGCTGAAACTGAGGAGGACCTGCAGCTCTTGCAGCAGGTCAAGGACTGCAGCCTTCAATATGGATTAAAGCTCAACATCAAGAAAACAAAGATTCTCACCACTGGGTCAACTGGCAGCATCACAATGGATGGTGAGAGACTGAGATTGTAAACAGCTTCAGTTTGTTTGGCTCCACAATCAACACTCTTGGTATCAACAACCAGGAAATTAAAAGGCGAATTGCATTGGGGAAGTCTGCTATCAGAGACCACTCCAGAGTACTGAAAAACAACAATGTCAGTCTGTAGACTAAGGTGCACCTGATATAGGACATGGTCTTTGCAATCACTTGCCATGCATCAGAAAACTGGACAATGACTAGGAATGATAGAAGGTGAATTGATGCTTTTGAGCTGTGGTTCTGGAGAAGAGTACTGAATATACCATGGACTGCTAGGAGAACAAATAAGTTCATCAGGGAGAGGGTGAAGCCAGGCTGCTCCTTGGAGGCAAGGATTCTGAAGCTTCATCTGACATACTTTGGACATGTTGCAAGGTGGGACCAGTCGTTGGAGAGGGACGTCATGCTTGGGAGTGTGGAGGGACAGCACAAGAGAGGAAGACCCTCGATGATATGGACTGATTCAATGACTGAGGTAATGGGGCTAGATGTGTTAGAGACAATAAGATTGGCACAGGATAGAGCAGGGTTTAGGGTTCTTGTACACAGGGTCACTGTGAGTCGCAGGCAACTCAACAGCACATAACAACAACAACAACCACGACCAGAGGCCAAGTGCAACAACAGGCCCACAGGAGTGGGTAGTCCACCTGAAGAGGCGAGGTCTGATGAGGTCTGTCCCAGAAAAGTTGGGATTCGGGGGGAAGGGCTGTTCGTGCGTGCTGATGCAGGGCCTTCTTCCCAGCTGACATCTTTGACAAGGTTTCTGGGGAGATCCAAAGAAAGTGCTACGACTATGAGTGCCTAGGTGGCAGGCGGATCTCCCACCAGAGCCACCACAGCAAGATCCGCGTGTATGGCTGGCTACTCTATGGGCTATGGGCGGCACAGCACTCCATCTCTACAGAGAAGATCAAGACCAAGTACCCAGACTATGTGGTCACCTGGGCCGATGACAGCTACTGAAGAAGGCCTGAGCCTTGCCATTTCACAGCCATACAAGCATAGGCTGCATTGGCTCTGGCCGCCCTTCTGGGGGACCAGGTCAACCTCACTGACCCCTGAGATGCATCTGTACTTATTGGACCCCAGAGACAAGGCAGTCTGGGTCGCAGGGCCACCTGTAGGAATTGAAAGTGTTGTCACTTCTTCCTGAAAGAAAGAAAGGGGGGGGAGGAAATAGTTCCTCATAGCAACATGCCCAAAGTATGTGAGGTGAAGCCTCATCATTTTTGCCTCCAAAGAGCACTCTGGCTGCATCTTCTCCAAGCCATATCTGTTCTTTGGGCCATCCACGGAATTTTCAGTGCTCTTCTCTAATAACACAGCTCAATACCACAGGAATCCGTTCTTCTTCTGCCATCCCTGTTCATTGTCCAGCTCTTACATGCATAGCAAGTGATCAGAAAGACTATGGCATCAATCATTATTTATCATTACTCCTCAATAATTTGGAGAGGTCCCTAATTGCAGATTTTCTCAGTGTAATGTGTCTCCTTATTTCCTGACTTCTGATACCCAGGATGTTAATTGTGGTTCCAAGCAAGATGAAGCTGTTGACAGTTTCAGTCCCCTCTCCATCTATCATGACATTGCCTATCAGTTCGACGGTAAGAATATTTGCTGAGATGTTATCCATACTGAAGGCTGCATTGCTTGATCTTCTGTAACAAGTGCTTCAAGTCCTCCACATTTTCAGCAAACAAGATTGCATCATCGGCATAACGAAGATTATTCCTCCGATCCTGAGGCCACATTCTTCTTCAGAAGGACAGCTTCTTGAATAATTTACTTAGCCTCTTGGTCTAATTACAGACTTCACATGAACACCATTAAGTGATCCAGGATTCTCATTCTTCTCAATGCTAGCCATAGTTTCTTCTGATTCATGTAGTTAAACTAGGAGATACTTGGAATAAAAAGAACTGATTCAGCTGGAGTGTATTTACCAGAAATTAAGAACAAGTACATAATCTTTGGGAACAGATTCAATAGTTGATGGTAAGAGAAATGGAGATTCAAACTGGCGTAGAAGATATGGAGATGCCACTGAAAATCCC